TACTCTGCAACGAAGTCCCTGAAAGCGAGGAACACTTATTCCATAATTGTTCCTATATGAAACTGGTTTGGAGCTTCTTCTTGGCTTTCCTGCAGAGATCTCATCTACCACATAAGTTCAGTTACATTTTGGAATCCAATGGCTCCTTTTTAATGGGCAAAGAAGATAGACTTCTTTGGTCTATTCTTTTCTCATCTCTTTGTTGGTGTTTATGGAGGGCAAGAAATAATCTAATTTTTCAAAGAGACAGAGGTCTCTCCCCGACTTTTTTGGTTTCTAATATTACTCATTTCATAATGATATAGACAAGTAACCTTGCATCTAATAGAGCTGTCATTATTCAAAAAATAGTGCCTGAGAGGGGATTAACCCAGTTGATGTTGCAAAATGACTTCTCATCCCACGACATGGCTCGAGTGGATGACAACTTCTGAGGAATCTATATGTTGATCTAACTCTCTTGTGTAATTACTAATATACAAATACTACCTAAACTTATTTTGGTTTGATGTAAATATGAGTTTGTGATAGTTCTAAACGATGCATACTCCCACTTCTATCTTCTTTTTGAGCTGTGTAGTCTAAGTTCTCTTCTTCAATTTTTCCTTTCCCTTATAATAGGTGACGGTTATGGTCCTCTCTCTATTCTTTGGTTTGGGCTAATTGTTTACTTCAAGCTTGAAGTTAGGATAGGTTTTTTTGGCTACTTTATGATATATGAATAGGGCATCTTCCTGTTTCTTTCTGTCAGAAAAAAAGGCTTACAGATAAGTGCATTACCCTAAGGATGTTGTTCTTTTGATGCATCACGTATGTAGTGTTTCAGACCCACTGAATACCTTTGTGATACTAACCGTATTACCTTCTAAAATATCGTAAATGTTCCTCAACCTTCAAACAAATCACACCTTCAACTAAACCTTCCTACATTAATATGATAACCTCTCATGCAACCAACAAACTTTCAATGATAATTGTCTTTTATTTAGTAGACAACAAACTTTCTCTATGATAATTGTCTTTTATTTAGTAGACAACGAACTTTTTCTATGATTTAGAAATTAAAGAGTGCAATTTATGAGTTATTAATCATATTACCTTCTAAAAAGCCGTAAATGTTCCTCAACAAATCACACCCTCAAATTAACCTTCTCACAATCTGATAATTTCTCATGCAATCAACAAACTTTCAATGATAATTGTCTTTTATTTAGTAGACAACACACTCTTTTATTTAGAAAAGAGTGCAATTTATGAGTATATGAAACATTATTTGATTTGGATGAACCACAATTGTCAAAATATTAATAGCACCGCAACCAAGTTGCAATGTATGATCCTTTTTTTGTCATCTTGTGTCATATTTTTGTGTTGAACAAATGAAGCATGACACAAGTCGAATTAGAGCAAGTGTGAGAGGGTGTTTCTATAAATGTGGAAATGTGCCGCGAAAATCGTGACATATATTCGTGATACTTTTATTTTATTTTGTATCTAATGACACAATCATGCGTCGTGATTTGCAACATCTTTTATTTATATTGTTATTATTTCGTCCTTTATAATTAACACAACACTACTACATGAGTGTTGACATATGCGACTTTTGTTGTAGTCTAGAGGGTTGTTATTGGAAAAATTTGCTGTCAATTGTCCTTTGATAGTATAGGGAGAGAATTCAAATCCAATATCAATAGCTCGTTTTCTCCACTCTTGATGATTAAGCTAAATATCACAAATAATTTCCATGATAGCACCTGGCTATATATCTTCATTCCTTCTATGGTGTTTGAGATTGTTCATTGCTCTTAGTTTTATGATAAATTAATCTTATATATGATCTTATCTGTGAAGAAGAATCAACTATTGTAAGTGGATGTAGCACTACGTATGCATTAGTGTTAGCTCCTTGGTTAATGCATGCTATAGGACTTCACAAAGATGTGAGAAGTAAACAAAATAACATAATTTTTTTATCGTTCGAGTGGTGGCTTTTCATAGCCAGCGAATTAAGCTAAAGAAGGAGTCTATTTATGAATTAAATTAATTAAATGCGGGAACTGTTGGTTTTGGATGTGTGTAGACCGAAACATGAAGAAGAAATCAACAAGCAGCTAAAAATCCCAGCATCAGTCGACCGAAGACCCTGAATCAATCGACCGACGTGACTGAAGGAAACAACCCAGAAAACCACGTTCTGGACAGTCGACTGATGGAGCTCATCAGTTGACTGGTAGGAGCTCATCAGTCGACTGGTTATGTGCCACTAGTCGACCGATAGACGTGCACGAGCGACCCTATAAAAATCACATTCTGGCCAGTCGACTGATGTATGTGCACCAGTCGACTGATAGCGGTATATGGGCTTTCCTGGTTTGAGTTGGAATATTTTTTAAGCTAGGTATATATATAATCCTTAAATGTTTTTAGGGTTATTCAACACACGAATAGAGAGGGTTTTGAGAGGGTTTTCTGAACACTTTGAGAGAGAGAGAGATCTCAGAGAGAGAGAGAGAGGCCGTTTGCAGTCATTGTAATCTTCTTCAATATCAAAGGAATTTTCTGGTGTGGCTCCCGAACGTAGACACGTTTTCCGAACCTCGTTAAATCTGGTGTTCTCTCTTTGTTTATTCTTTCCTGCAAATTTTTCTTTTATTTGCTATGATTTCTTGCTTGTCTACTTTCATTAATACAAGATCCGGAAGGGCACGGGTTATCGTTGTTTCAACCCCAACAGGAACTTGAGTTTAAGATCCATTATTCAACTTATCTTGATGAATATGATAGTTCTAGAATTCATAGAAATAGATGGATATAGACAGAGGCAGAGCTATATATTGTTTACCCAGGATACATCCAATCTAACTTTTGGAAAATCTACATGCACATATAATTTCTTAGAGAAATAACTTGTCGGGGAAATATATAACTTGTTGATATTCTCATGCACGACTCAAGAGAGGATAAGATGCACAATTCTATTAATAAATAATTTACGTATGTAATATACAAGGGTTCAGTACATATTTTATTCTCTTGAATCCATTATAATGCGCATATAATTCATTTTTTAACGAGAATGGCCATCTCTTCTTCAATGAATTTACTGCTGAGCGTGCTCACAATATTGTATCAATATACTGCTAAGTTTTTTTGGAAAAATTGCTTCAAGGCCCCAAAATTAAAAATACAATGTGCAACAGCCCCCTGTACTTTGGCCCATGTGGCTAAACCCTTAAATATTCAAAAAAAATGTAACTGAGCCCTAAAAACACTTCTCTCACCCGTATTTGCACCCAGCCTCCCTAAAATACACCCGCCTTCAACTCCGTGCCTCGAAAACGAGATCCGATCGTTGGCGAAACCTCTCCGTTGCATTTAAGGCGGGATGATGGCCGTTTTGGGGGGAAATTTTGGCGCGCTCCCTCCGTTATATATCCTGTTAACCCACTCGGCTTTGAAGAGAGTGTATTTATGGTGCAAAGGGCAGATCTTTGCGGTTAGGGCTTATGATCTTCAGCCCCCTACTTGTCCTAAAGTTCCCTTCATAACTCCTCTTAAATCCCCTTCATTTATGGCGGAGAGCCCCCTTATTTGCATGGTTTCCTTGGGTGAGAGAGCAGTGTTCTCAAGGGTAACTTGTGCAACCTCTTTTTTTGAGTTTAAGTTCAACGTGGCTGAGAGGTTGAAGGTTCCTTATGATGCGCTATCAATGGTTTATAAATCTGAAAGGATCCCTGATCTGAGTTTTGAGATCGAGAATGAGGATGATATGGAGTGTATGGTGGAGCACAACCGTAATATCGGGTGTCTGGAGATCCATATTCGAGCTACTATAGATGTAGATGTTTCCAGATGTGAGAACACCCTGAAGCAACCTCCTGAAATGTAAGTTATATTTACACTTAATTTATTTGAAAACTTATGAATTGCGTGAGTAAAATGTGGAGAAATGATAATATAGCGAATTGTTTCAGGTTAAATGTTAGCTTTTAACTGATATATGTTAACTTTCTACCGAAGGTTGTTAAGCTTTAGGGCATATGTGTTAACTCTTAAGGGTACTGCATTATTTAAGTACAAGTCCTATTCGTTATTTTAAGAAAAACCAATTATATTTGTGCAGCATTATGAATACACTGAAGCCAAAGTTTATTGATAGTACTTCTGCCGCAAACCATGGTTCTGAAAGAATTCCAATTGATAATCCCAGTGGTAGCAGTGTAGTGCGTTCTGATGACATTATTAACAACACAGTAATGATTCCTGGTTGGTGGCATAATGCATTAACTGAAGAGGGTCAAGAATTTGAAAGTGCTGAAGAATTAAGGTTGGCGCTGACATACTATTCTCTGGCCAAAATGTTTGATTATGAGTTTAAAAAGAACGAACCAAAACGTATCCGTGTATATTGCCGATATAAAGAAACTTACGAGTGCCCATGGATGTTGTTTGCTTCACCTGTTAAGAATGCAAATAGACTATCGATCAAGAAGTTTGTTAATGAACATACTTGTGGGCAGTACGGGCAAAATACAGGTCGTTCAAGGGCATCCCGTAAATTCATTGCAACACAGTTACAACCACTCCTGAAGGTCCGTCCAGAAATCCGACCCGTTGATGTGTAAAAGGAGTTCCTCACAAACTACGGCCTTAAAATTGATTACAGTAAGATATGGTGGGGGAAAGAGAGAGCACAGGAGAAGCTTTACGGGGATATATATGAGTCGTATGATCAACTACGATGGTAAATGCTGAGCTTTATTATTAACTTGTTAAGTTTCAAAGTTTGCTTGTTAAAACAAATAGTTAACATGTTCCTTGTTAAGTTCATTGATAACATTGATAACATGTTAAGTTTCACGACTAACATGTTAACTCTTGTAAATAACATGTTAACTCTTGTTAATAACATGTTAACTCTTGTAAATAACATGTTAACTCTTGTTAATAACATGTTAACTCTTGTAAATAACATGTTAACTTTTGTTAAGTTACCCCAATAATGTGTTAGCTTTTTTTGGTCGCTTGTTAAGCTACACGGATAACATGTTAACTTGTTGGTTTGTTTCTTCTTACACGACTAGGTATGAGCGCATGGTAAAAGAGACAAATCCCGGCAGTTACATACATGTTGACCAGAATGAGGGGAGGTTTTCGAGACTCTTTGTTTGTTATGCTGCATGCATCAAAGGTTTCTTGAGTGGATGCAGACCCCTTCTATTTTTGGACGGTACATTTTTGAAGGATCGATATAAAGGTATTCTCCTCTCGGCCATAGCATACGATGGGAACCAAGGTATATTTCCCTTAGCGTATTGCATATGTGATCAAGAGAATTTGATGAATTGGAAGTGGTTCCTCCAAGGTCTATGGTCCATACTTTATGAGAGGGCTGACCCTTACAATCCTCCCCACCAATTGGTTATAATTTCTGATGCGGACAAAGGAATTAAAGAATCAGTAAAAGAGTATTTTCCAGAAGCTCTACACTCGAGGTGTGTTCTACATCTTGTTGAAAATTTCAGGTTAAAGCTTAAGGACTTGGGTATGAAGTCGAAGGACACTCATGTTCTTGGGAACTTACTCCAAAGTGCTTGTTATAAATACACAATAGCAGAATGGAATGAGTACATGAAAGAGATATATGACATGGATCCAAGGGCATACAACATTGCTATGAACTACTCTCCTGATCAATGGGCAAATGCATTCTTCCCGGGAATAAGGTAACGTTATTTGGCTATTCTATATCTATGCTAATGTATGAACTTATGCTATTTAGCATGTTATCTTTGGATTTGTTAAATTCTATATCAGAGCTGTTAACTATATCAGAGTTCAAAACATGTTAAGTCTTGTTGATAATATGTTGAGTCTCGTTGCTAACATGTTAACTCTTGTGGATAACGTGTCAACTCTTATTGATAACATGTTAACTCTTGTGGATAACATGTTAACTTTTGTGAAAAACATGTTAACTGTTAAATGTTAACTATTATATGTAAACATGTTAACTGTAATTCAAAAAAATAACTCTATTCAATTATTTGTGTCATCCCTTATTTATAACCTATTAACTCTTATCTGTAAACTGTTAACTGTAATTCATATTATGTTAACCCTATTCAATTATTTGTTAACCCTTATTTGTGACTTGTTATAAAGTTATATATAATTTTAGGTATGGGCACGTAACATCTAATGTCGCTGAGTCTTTTAATAATTGGATAAGGGAAACTAGAATGCTACGAATTCTACAAATGGTTGAGCATATCCGTAAACAGATAATGGTCTGAATGAGTAATCGCCGGTTACTTGCAGATAAATGGGCTGGATATCTCTGTCCACAAGCAGAGATGGTGCTTAAAGAAAATATAGAGAAAGGTCGTCCATTGGATGTTAAGCAAGCTGCAGCTGACATATTTGAAGTGCAAGCACATAAAACTACCCGTGTTGATTTTGAGAAGAAGACATGCACTTGCCGTGCTTGGGACGTCATGCGGATTCCGTGTAAACATGCATGTGCAGTCATCTCGTACATGAAGAGAGACATTTACCAATATTGCGATTGGTTTATGTCCATAGAAGCATTTAAAAAGAGCTATGACCCGATTCTCTATCCTATACCAGATTATGAGAAACGAAGCGTGCCAAGGGATGAGATCGAGCTACTTCCACCACATACTATCAAAAGAAAGGGGAGAAATAAAACAAGACGTATCAACAATCGAACAGTGTACAAACGACCTTTGAAATGCTCTCGATGCCACTCCGAAGGCCACAACCGCGCAACTTGCAATGAGCCGATCGCCGATTGATATGAGTTGCGGATTTGCCGAAACACTTTTGGGTGTATGTAATACTTTTGTAGTTAACTGTTTATATGAACTGAAACATATTTGGGTGTTTGTAATACTTTTGTAGTTACCGGTGTATATGAACTGAAATATGTTTGGGTGTTTGTAATACTTTTGTAGTTAACTGTGTATATGAACTGAAATATATTTATGTCAATGTGAATTATAATGAAAATGTTATCTTACTTGGGTCTGTAAAGTTACTCAGTTATATTGTTAAGTTACAGTTAACATATAAAATTTTCTTGGTAGGTTATTAAGCTACACCTATTACATGTTAACTCTTGTAAATAACATGATGGATAACATGGTAACTCTTGTTACAAACATGTTAACTCTTATCGCTAATATGTTAACTCTTGTGGCAAACATGTTAACTCTTGTGGAAAACATGTTAACTCTTGTGGCAAACATGTTAACTCTTGTGGCAAACATGTTAACTCTTGTAGCAAACATGTTAACTTTTGTTGCAAACATGTTAACTTTTGTCGCTAACATGTTAACTCTTGTTGATAACATGTTAACTTTTGTAGGAAATATGTTAACTTTTTTTGATAACTATTAACTCTTTGACATAACATGTTAACTCTCGTAAGTAACATGTTAACTCTTGTTGATAACAAGTAAACTCTTGGCGATAACATGTTAACCCTTGTTGATACATGTTAACTCTTGATGATAAAATGTTAAATCTTATTGCCATCATGTTGACTCTTGTAGTTACCGGTGTATATAAACTGAAATATGTTTGGGTATTTATAATATTTTTGTAGTTAACTGTGTACATGAACTGAAATATATCTATGCCAATGTGAATTATAATGAAAATGTTAACTTACTTGGTTATTAAGCTATACCTATTAAATGTTAACTCTTGTAAATAACATGTTGGGTAACACGTTAACTCTTATAGCTAATATGTTAACTCTTGTTGTAAACATGTTAACTTTTATTATAAACATGTTAACTCTTGTGGTAAACATGTTAACTCTTGTTAAAAACATGTTAACTCTTATGGAAAGCATGGTAACTCTTGATGTAAACATGTTAACTCTTGTGGCATACATGTTAACTTTTATGGTAAACATGTTAACTTTTGTTACTAACATGTTAACTCTTGTGGATAATATGTTAACTTTTGTAGGAAATATGTTAACTTTCTTCGATAACATGTTAACTCTTGTTCATAATATGTTAACTTTGTTTGGAAATATGTTAACTTTCTTTGATAACATGTTAACTCTTTGACATAACATGTTAACTCTCGTTAGTAACAAATATGTTAACTTTCTTTGATAACATGTTAACTCTTTGACATAACATGTTAACTCTCGTTAGTAACATGTTAACTATTGACTCTTTGACATAACATGTTAACTCTCGTTAGTAACATGTTAACTATTGTTGACAAAAAGTAAACTCTTAGCGATAACATGTTAACCCTTGTTGATAACATGTTAACTCTTGATGATAAAATGTTAAATCTTGTTGACATCATGTTGACTCTTGTAGTTACTGGTGTATATGAACTGAAATATGTTTGTGTGTTTGTAATACTTTTGTAGTTAACTGTGTACATGAACTGAAATATATCTATGCCAATGTGAATTATAATGAAAATGTTATCTTACTTGGTCTGTAAAGTTACTCAGTTAGATTGTTAAGTTACAGTTAACATATAAAATATTTTTGGTAGGTTATTAAGCTATACCTATTAAATGTTAACTCTTGTAAATAACATGTTGAGTAACATGTTAACTCTTATTGTAATCATGTTAACTCTTATAGTTAATATGTTAACTCTTGTCAAAAACATGTTAACTTTTGATGCAAACATGTTAACTCTTGTGGCATACATGTTAACTCTTGTAGCAAACATGTTAACTCTTGTGGTAAACATGTTAACTCTTGTGACATACATGTTAACTCTTGTAGCAAACATGTTAACTCTTGTTACAAACATGTTAACTTTTATAGCAAACAAGTTAACTTTATTTGCTAACATGTAAACCCTTGCTGATAACATGTTAACCCTTGTTGATAACATGTTAACTCTTGATGATAACATGTTAACTTTATCCGTATACGGTATTATTTAACAAGTGAACCTGACATGTTCTAAACTTTCTCCATATTTAACAAGTGAAGCTGACATGATATAATTGTTAACTTACGCATCTAACATGTTAACTTTCTCCGGGCACTAGTTCATTAGCTGTTAATACACTATACAAGCTGAAAATTATGAAGATTGTTTACAGTTGTTTATCTACATAGCATTCTTCCTTAGGCTGTAACATTTGCGGCTCATGCAGGCGCTTTCAATTCTGGGTCCTCCACGGCCTTTCTTTTATTTCTAAATTCCCAGCCTTCTTTTATTAGTTCCGCAGCAAGCCTTGCACGCACTACCGCAGACGAATCATCGGCGGGCGTAACATGCAGAACATCACCTTTCTGTAGGATAGCCCGTACATAAAGGTATACGTATATCCCACAATCATAGCTACAAATAACAAAACATAAATACATATTACAGGTCAGTTTTGGAGACGAAAATTCTTTAATAAAATAAGGTTCATATGTTAATGTACCTTCCCTTTTGAGACTCGCATGGGATTTCCTTATATTTAAATGCCCTACACATATTTTCAAGATCGAATGCGGCCTTCATATGGTCCATGAAGTTTATAATTTTGTTAACGGGCTCAAGGTAAGCAGAGGGAGTTACCGAACTATAGTGCAACGCTAAATTTTCATTCAATCTAACTTCGACACAATGCCAATGGTCATGGCGAACAATTGGCAATATGAGTATTGATCGGCCAGCGGCAATATGTTGTTGTATATAAAGTTCATATAGTTCATATAGCCGCAGATGAGCCTGGTCTCCATAGAGTGAATGCTGTTACACAAAATTAACACATTAAGAAAGAGCGGCCTTTAATATGTGAACATGGTTCAAGTTCATATAGTTAACTTTTTTGGAAAACATGTTAACTTTTGTGAAAAACATGTTAACTTTTATGGAAAACATGTTAACTTTTGTGGAAAACATATTAACTCTTGTTGAGAATATGTTAACTTTTGTGGAAAACATGTTAACCCTTGTTGAGAACATGTAAACTCTTGTTGAAAACATGTTAACTCTTGTGGAGAACATGTCAACTCTTGTGGAAAACATGTTAACTTTTGTGGAAAATATGTTAACTTTTGTGAAAAACATGTTAACTATTGTGGCTAATATGTTAACCCTTGTAGATAACATGTGAACTCTTGTTAACTCTTATAGATAACATGTTAACTTTTGTGTAAAAAATGTTAACTTTTGTGGATAACATGTTAACTATTCTGGATAACATGTTAACTATTTTGGTTAACATGTTAAATATAAGAGCTTATCTGTTAACTAATTATATGAGGATTGGTCTTACAATCCCGTACACGCAGAAATATGTAGATACAATCCCGTACTGCTTGTTTAATTCAGCGTTCTCTGGCAACTGCAGCCATAGCCGTAATCTATCTAAGAATGCCTCTGTTACTTTGTCATTGAGTCTTCCCCCACGGATCATATACAGTAGTTCCGGGTGTGTAATTGCGCTGTTATCAGTAGTTATGACATATACGTACCTTAACAAGCAATAAGTTACAGAGGGTTAAGATTTAAAACATGAAAGCTAACATCTAAACGCACAAACATAACAAGCAAAAAACAGAGTTTCACAGTTAATATTAAAGAGTTAGCATTAAATTACTTAACATGTTAACTGTCGTGGATAACATGTTAACACTTGTTGCTAACGTGTTAACTCTTGTGGATAACATGTTAACTCTCGTTGCTAACCTCTTAACTCTTGTGGATAACATGTTAACTCTTGTCGCTAACCTGTTAAGTCTTATGGATAACATGTTAACTATTGCTGCTAACATGTTAACTCTTGTTGTTAACATGTTAACACTCGTGGTTAACATGTTAACCCTTGTTGCTTAAATTTAAACGTGAAAGCTTTACATTTTGAAATCAGCACTTACGGGCTACATTTCTCCTTGCAGTACTGCTCGAGCCATTTGTTCTCCTCAGCTGAGAGTTTCTCTGCAACATTTTTTGGTATTCTGTAGTTATGTACAAAAGCCCCAGCGCTATCTAACACTCGTAAGCTAAACGTGCCTACATCAGGGATACCCTCATTCACCTCTTTTAAGGCAGCACGATCCACATCTGTTAAATACGTGCTTTTTAGCACATCCCACTTGCCAACACTGTCGTCATGGTAAACTGTTATTTTCTTTGGGGTGTCACCAAGCACAATGGGTTCATCTTTGTGCTCACCTTCTTTCAACTTCAATCCCTTAGCCCTCGGTTTCTTATCCTCAGTAAATGGTGTCCTAACCAGTTTACCTTTCTTGGTTGCTCTTTTGCTTGGAGCTCTACTCCTATA